ACATCTACTTTTTAGTCTGTTTCTTCATTTTATCACGTGTATTGTAACAAATAAAGTGAAAACTCTGCTTTGCGACTATATGAGCCTTTTGTGAGTGCATGAGGTGAATGAAAATTGCCGCGTCATTATCCTCCAAAACAAGGTACTTATTGTATTTCTTTAAATTTTGATTCTAAGAAATTTATTCTATAAAACCTAGGCTTCCATTAACTTCAATGGATCTTCTCAATACTGCTTTTAGAGAGATAAAACAATATTCTCGAGACTAATGATTTCCAAAGTAACAGAATATACCTTCTTAGTTCTAATTGGCACGGCAATTTAATCTTGATTCTAATTAACGGATTAGTTACGCTAATTAAAATTTACGCGTTGTGTTTACAGTTACTATGAGTTTGACTGGAAGTGCTTAGATCGGTTACGCCATTATTTAATTAAGGATCTTTTACCATGATAAGGGCAAAGTTGATTGTTATCTAGCACACAATAGCGGTACAAAAGTCGTAAAGTACAAGTACTTATGTGGTTCTAAATTACTGTTTCCTAATAAAAGATTAGAAGTGTCTATCTAGGTATTAAACACGGTTGAAACTAAGCCAAGGTTTTACTAATTTGTAGCATGAAAAGTCAAAGCAAATATTGCGCGATTTAAACAAAATCATATCAAGGAACCTCCATTAGAAGTCAAAACCCCTTAAAACGAAACGCCAATGAAAAATTCAAAGACACAATTTCATTGACCCCAATCTCGACTTTTCCGAACAATTTCGACGAGATAAAAAGACGTTGGTGGAAGACACTCAATAATTGTCAAAATTAAATGTTTCAATGTAGTCGACTGTGACAACACACTCGAATCGAAATCTTGCAGATTGAAGAATGGCGGAACGAGAGCGCTCCCTTGGCGGCCCCGTACATCTGTCGCGGCGGTAATGCACATTTAATCTCAAGCCACTCTAAAATCTGCCAAAATGCTTTATTGCTTTCGTGAACAAGTTCTCGCGTTGAAGATAAAACTTTACAAGCATAATGAATCTAAATCGCGCCGCCAATCCTCGGAATTGTTCAAGAGTTTTGTTTAAAATAAAACTTGGATTTATCTCGTTTAATTTCGCCTTTTGTTATTGTGTAATCGTTTACCTGTCTGCGTTTTTAATTTGTCTCTTAATAGGATTGTGCCGCTAATAAGATTTGGGCAGTGTAAAGTGAAATTAGCGACTCCCGGTTTGTTTTAGATTTTTAATTAGCCAATCTTACGCCCATTTTCCATTTATTTCATTTGAGCAATTATTTCGTTAGTTGTTCACTTTCCGTATGATGTTGTTTTCTTTTGATATTGACAGATGTTTTTCGATTTACAAACTCAGACCATACTATTGTGGTTTATAGAAAAAAAGTTCAAGAAAAAACTAAAAACTAGTCCAGCTACGTTTTAATTAAATGAACTTTCAAAAACAAGATGTTGAATCCAACAACAGACCCCGAGGGTTGGTATTAGGTCTAGACTTTGAGGCTAACTTTTAATCCCTAATATCCGTTGCTAGGAAATGAAGTTTAAAGTCTGTACATCCGTGGCCTTGCGGACGGAGTCAGGCTTAAGTCAGACAACAAATTCTGTGTGTGCCAGTGATATGTGTATTGACTCTGCACTATGTTCTTTATAAGTTTCTACTAAATGGTGTTGCTTAGCATAGAGTTTGGAGATCTTTTGTTAATTGATATGACTGTGATCTGTATCAAACAAAAAGACTTTAATGGTGTCTTCAGCTTTCCTTTCTATTTTTGACTTACCCGATTACTAGCCACGATAGAGTCAGAATATGAATTGTCTTTTAGTGATTTTTTTTTCAAATCACTGCTAAAGAATTAGAAATACTTCAGAGGCAAGTAGGTACCGCTATAGCTATTTTTGGTTACATAACGAGCGGTTCCAAAATCACAACTTTGGCACATTCAAAACGCTGCAGATTCAAATAATCAAACTAATGAGGGGAGTTGACGGTGGATCCCGGCGCGATCCCCGCTGACCGCCCCGGGCCAACGTTCCCGGATTACGTGATTTCACGCAACTACCCCCCGTTCAAGCAGGTTTAATAACCGAATGTTGTCCAACAAAATTATGAGCCCTTGATTTGATTCGACAACTTTGCAGACAGGATTGCAATAGTAACTTTGGGTACCTGAATTCCTGTATTCAATCTGTCATCTGCTTTATTCAGTGGGACACCCCTCTGTTTCGTCAATGGGTGAAGCTCCATACTGGGTACCTAAATGTCAATACTTTTTATATGTACATCCTCCATACTAACCCTAAGTATTATATTCTTCTACTACTACTAGGGAACCAGATTTCCGAAACAAATTATTTGAATATATTCAGATTAGGATTGTATCTTTGCTAGTGTAGTAATATTTTAAAAACTAAAAATCCAGTTAAACCTCAACTCAGCCCATTATCATTTCAAATAACTACACTTTAAACCCGCAACGACTGTAGGCAATGCTCCCAGTAATAAGTCAGGAGGCATTTTCACACCGCCCATTTGCGTCGCACCTCTAAAGTTGAAATAAACAAGCTAACTTTGCCCATTCCGCATTGTGCGGACGAGCTTTTATGTGAGGTTCCGCGAGAATTGAACTTGTCAGATTATGTAACTTAAAGCCTCTAGCTGTTGTGAAGGTATCATACCTAAATAAATATCGTAACCAAATCGCAGAGCATACAAAAAGAAGAACAACATAATTTAAATCTGAAGAAATTTCAAGATGGTTTAACATTATGGAAGAACAAACATACTTTTAAAATGATTTTTGCCATGATGACACGGATATATACAAATACAAAGACATAAAGCTAGATACGTAAAAATAACAAAAACCTTTTTTCCGCCGGGAACTAAAAACAAAAAGTTACGGGTTACCGTTTTGAATAATCAACGTGAACGTCAATAACCAAATAATAGCTGTACTTAACCTCATCAATGTAAAGCGACATCAATATTCACAATTAAACAAGCCCCATTCCTAGTACGTACCAAAATAAAACACTTCAACAAAATAACTGAAATCTTAAGTAATGGAGTTTTTGAATCGGCCTTTAATGAATCTGGTGGTTCGAGGGTAAGTAAATACTGCCCCATTGTACTTTATTACAGTACCATTCAGGTTTTAATTAATTGTCAGAAACTGAGGATCGTTTGACTGAAACACTTCGGAAACTTGTTGGATAATGTTTGGACAGGTTTCATCGACAAATCTTGTCTATTTGGATTACAAGCATCTTAGCGAATAATCTTTTCAATAGATCGTGTTTCACGTCGATGTTTCAGAATAATAATTATTATTATTATGTTCGAGATGATTTGAACATAATATTAGACATACGAGTAATTGTTATAATTACTCAAAGATCGAAATTATAGAAACTCTTTCAACATTTTTAAGAACACATCATCATTCTTGCAGTAATCAATTGCTTCAAACATTCTGAAATGTAGTTTGTAAATGCGACAAACTAAGATAGGGAGTCAAACCAAAAAACCTTTTCAACTTAAAAGTAGCTACTTTAACAAACTTAAGATAAGTCAAATCTTAAACATGAAAGTCCCAATTAGTGCACGGCCAATAAAAATCACTGTACCTACTCTGAACTTTGCTCTAGAATTAAATTTTAAGCAGCTCTAGTGTTTCCAATTAAAAAAGCCATTAACGATGCCCGAATTAACTTGGAAGCGACTAACATTGTATTCCTACGAATAATTTTCACGGGAACAGAATTAACGGTAGTTTAAGCTAGTTTGGGGGTATACTTTAAAATTACGAACTACCTAGAGGATGATGGAAAATTTACACCGGCCCGCAAACAGTCTCATTTACATCTACGAGAGCTGACAGATGGGGCAATTCTGTACGCCACACATCCTATTTTTTTTTTTTCTATTTATTTGGCACAAAAACAGTCATTACAAATATCGCTTCTAAACAAAAATAGTAACTAAAACTATTATAAAGGTATATGCATGCTAAGCAGATACTGTGTTTCTAGGGCGACGTGGAACTTTGTGGGACGAATTGTGTCTTTGTCAATTTTAGTGACATTTTGTGTACAGTACTGATCGTAATCGTTTGGCTGTTGAGACAATAATTTATGTTTGATTAATGATTTTTCGTATTTCAAAGAATTCAACGGCTTAGTACGGATAGTTAAAACTAATAATATAGGAAGTGGCTCATATTTTTTTCATGTTTGTAGTCGAAACAAGCCATAAACCATAATTTTATGCCAATTTGTACATCAACAACACGGTGATTATATTTTTATGCTTATAAAACTGTTTGACCTAGTGACCTAGTTTTGTTCAATAATGCAAAATACTTTTGCGCTTGTTAATACTCATGATCACAATTATTATTATTAATATTATGGCATAATCTGATTTTGAAGTTGTAATATGAAATATTTCTTACACCTTAACTTGAAACAATATTCATGTAAGAGTTGCAGCGCTCAAGACAGCTAGCGCCACATATGAACGAGTTTCGGAACTTTGTTTGTGAAAGGGCGCAATAAGTTTTGAAGTATCAATTTTCAATTTACAAAAGACAAAATTTATAGTAACAATGCATAAAAAATAGACGATTTGAACGACCAATATTTTTTTTCTTTATTGAAATGTAGTCCTATGACTACGCGTGGATATTCATACGGTCTTCAACATACATCAATATAAATCATCCAGTCAGTCATCACAGTAAAAAACAACATAAATAGACACAACATCAACATGGGATCGTTTATTATCCCATAAGGTACCTGATGTTGCCAGTCGTCATGAAATTGCCCGAGCGGGATGCAATCACGACGCCTCGTACGTTGAAAAGAGACGGTGACGATAGTCGCACGTTTGGAGTTCATATAGTCTTTTTTGGTCACGTTTGTTTATACGATCATAATTTGGTGATAATATGGGTAACTGTTGTTGTTGTGATTGGGGTTATAGGTCCGTGAGGGCCAGAGACTGACTGGCGTGCGGCAGTTACGGCAGCAACAGGCGGTCGCAGGGGCGGAGCGTGGTACCCGCGCGCGTGCGCCGTCCAACTCGGTTACTATGACAACGCCTCCTCTAGATGTTTGTGATTACGTACTGGAAGGAAACTTTGCCGTGATTGACGCGTGATGTTCAATAATTGTATTTGGATGTTGGGCAGCTTTTTATGAAGTATTAGCTGGGCTTTAAGTTCAGCTGATTTATAGATTTGGCCGCAACTTGTAATGGAATTTGGTGTAGGTACGCTTTGGTAATGATGTACTTATTGGAGATGGAAACGCATATTGTACTGTTTTATTTGTTTTAGATTCTAGGTTTTAGCTAGATTTGTACATGATATATGACTAAATTACTAATGCTTGTCTTAGCATCAAATTGCAGCGACACTATGCATCGCGTGGAAATATTGGTAACATTGACAAATGATGTGGTGTGACATCGCGTCATAGCGTCGCGCGCGTCGTCAGTAAATGACATCGGACGAAGTACCTACCTATAGCCCTTTCTACAAAGAGCTGTGGGTTTGTCGTCCGATGTTGTTAAACTCAACACCATTATGGGATTAATCGTGTATCCATGTTGTTTCAGATATATTACATACCATACTAAATATTTTTGTGTCCTGTGAAGTAATTAATTAGAACTTTTAAATGTAAAGTAAATTACGTACCTACTTACATTAAAAAGTAAATTAGGAAACAAAATCAGTATATTTTTATACAGGGTCAATTAAATTATAAAGATCAGCCTCTATTATTACGTCTAAAACATTTTCTTGATAGGTCTACTAAGTGACCTATCAGAGCACTACCCAGATGTTAGTTAAGCAAGTCTCTNGCGAAGCCGGGTTTTCATCTAGTCTCCTATATTTTCACCCAGACTTGACCTGTTCTATCTCTATACGATATTGGCTATATCCATAAGAGTAACTATCTGGGGTTCGCTTAAAGTGAAACAAAACTTTATGGCTTGAAGCTCTTAGCCTTATAGCCATAATGCTGTAGAGTGCCCCCTACCATTTGAATCTTGTCGCTCACGAAAAATATTCGCGTTTGATTCCAATTGTTGGAAGGAAACGTAAATAAATACGTCAAATGTAGCAATATCTACTGTAATATTAGATTAAGTTTATAATCAAATTACAGAAAGAAAATTAATTCAAACCAAGTTTTAATAGAATTATGAGTGATGATAAAATCATAAAATGATAGCGCAGATTACATAATAATAGTTCTCGTTATCATTTTAATTGAAAAATAACAACGCAGTAAGCGCTGTGTTTGATTAAAAACGATTTTAATTAGCCAAATTAATTGTCAAAGATAGGGAATGGGATGAATATGAAAAACCTGAACAAATTACATTGAAAGGTTTGTGTTCAATTCAATTTTGAATCCACTGGATCTTAATCCCCACAGCTGATCTCCTTGACATCTGCAGCTCTCTGTGGACTGTGTTATAAAACAAAGAAAAATGCTTGCCGTTTAAATCCTCAGGTACTTAAATCAAAACGAGATAAAGGTAATACCTAATCTAATGAATGAATCAAAAAATATTGTTTTCAAATCAAACAAAATTGAAAACAGAAAAGCTGTAATAAAAACTTAATACTCGTATTTATTGACGGTTAATAAAGCAATACAGCTTGCAAAGAAAAATGAAATAACAATTACGAACTAAAACCACAATCACCAATTTTGAAGAACAATAAACCATCTGTCGTTACAAAACCGCATATTGCCAAACCACAAAATCTCGCGTTCACATAAAGTAATCTAGAGATACCAATAAAAACTTGGGACATCAACGGCTTTACTGTTCATTAAGATGGTAATAAGTGCAATACGGTACACGAACGATACATACGTGTAGTCCGGGTTTTATAGCGCAAGTTGTACCGTTACGTCGCGCTCGCGCTCGTGTAGCGTTCTAGGGAAGTATTATGTGCTACGATGGAAATTAATTGCTTTTAAATCTGGATAGTTTCTATGTGGTAAAGCGATTTCATGTAAAGTGACATCGACTGGTTACTATGGACTCTTTTAAGCACTTAATACATAAAATTTTGGGTGTGGATTGATTTAACTAAGACTTAAAAGCGTATACCTACTCATTTTCCTTATATTATCATGTCAAACAACTGCAGTGTTGTTGGACAACTTGGATATACGTTAAAAAAATAAGGGAACAAGTAGGAAACTTAAATTATGCGGCAGATCCTCATTGCACTGGTATTAGGATTACAATATTTGTGTGGCAATAGTTATAAGCTCGTTCATTTTTAGGTAGCCAAATGTCAAAAAACGGAACCCTTATAGATTCTTTTCAGATTCATTAGCTACTGGGGAAACAGCATATTACCTACCTTAAGAACTTTTAAAATTTCGAGGACATTTTTCTGCAGGATCAGTTTTTGTCGTCTTTTAGTTGAAACCAAATTTCCATACGATCAAGTAAAATAGTGTGCACCTCAAACGTATTTTTCTCTAAGTGTCATTACCCGAGTCTACATCAGGTAAGATTGCGGCGAACTTTCAACTCATTGGAAGTTCTTCATGGCCGATAAATTACGGAGTCACTTTTACAGCTAAGAACATACGACTAAACTTTTGAGAGCCTGTGTCAGTGGAGAGAGAGGTGGCGTAGATCAAAGGATTAGTCGCGGCGTGAAAAATTGGTCTGCAATAGTGTTATTTGGAGAGGGTTAAATCAGAATGTATCTGTTTGGGCCAATTTAATCATTATCCACCCACAAGGTGGACCGAAGACCTCATAAAAGTAGCGGAAAGGCGCTGGATGCAGGCCGCCACCAACCGGCCATTGTGGAAATCATTGGGGGAGGCCTATGTTCATCAGTGAACGTCTTATGGCTGAAAATAAATGATGAATAATTATTGTAAAAATTCACGTCGTGTCGTACGGTGGATGATTAACTCATCTTAAATTAGCATACAGCCAAGCCTGAAGAGCGACGCCGTAATTACGTAGTTCTCTATTTGTCACCGTCACTCGTGCTGGAATTTCTTAGGCGTGAGAGGGATGGAAACACACGAAACTTCTGATAACGTTTTTTCAGTAGCTCCCCAGATCTTTTGAAAAATTGACAGAGATATGGAAAGTATAAGTCGTTGACTGATTCTTATGAATAAATGCCGCCGGGTTGTCTTTAACGCTTAGTTACCCAACAAAGTGGTTGGAAAAAAAAACGAATAGATGAAGGAAAATGGATTGCCAAATATTGTTAATGCATACCACTCTCGTCCAACCACTGAAACCGAGCCAATTAGCAATTTATCCTCAATTTAAGTTATTAATAATTTTAAAACGACAATTTCGCTGGCGCTCGCCCTTTGTGGTGGTTGTAAGCCCCAGTTGCATTAAGTGGATAATCCCGGAGTTCATACTTTCATCTCTCTAATGGATGCAGCGCAGCCATTTATTGGTATCGGATGTTTTTATGTGCACTCTATTGGAGTGACAATATTGAGTTTTTAGAGTGCCCCGTAAAAGGCGTTACGTATGAAAATTCATTTCGCCGCCGCGTGGTTCAATTAACTTCTCGATTATGGGACGCACATGATTTTATGTTTCACTAAAAGTTTTATTCGCGCAGAACATTGTGTGTTACAATAACGCGTTTTATTTTTAATAACTATGTCACAATGACCACTACTCATAGTTTTGATCCGAATAGACATGAGTTTATTAAAACTGCTATACTAATTTGTTACATGAATAAACGCACAATATGAAACCACTAACGTCTACAACACATTTCTAGGCTAACAAAGATTTGAGCCATACCTACTTCCAAAGTAGTATTGTTGTAAGTCTTTTAGGCCCGAGTCGACCAAAATGTTATCCGAGAATAACAGAACTCCTGGTATAACATTGACAGTTTCATTATGGGAAAATTATGTCAAAATGTCGAATAACTGACGATTTATACTGAGATTAATATTTACTCTTGTTCCGTCGAATCCACCGATTATATTATTAACTGCTATAACTTTCTGTTTTAGTCAACTATTGTAAAGATAGTTTAATAAAACTAACACTTAAGATTTTTTCAAGTGGGTTAAGTACACTAAGGGTGAGTTGCACCATCTTATTTTGACAGTAATTATGACGATAACCGGTGCTTTTTGTATGGAGTTTGACAGATTTTTGACGGTTGTCAAAGTTAAAGTAAGATGGTGCAACCAAGCCTAAACATACTAGTGTTACAAAAGTCAATGTGTATCTACCTAACTAATTAAGAATTTAATGAAAAGCCTAAACACCGTTCTCAACGTTCTACTCGTAAAATTGTGCTTTGAAAACTACTAAAAGCAAACAATCCTCTTCTAAGTCTAATCTAAGATCATGTTTCTTAATCATTTAGTGAAATGAATCTCCCAACAACAATACTCTCTTGGAAATTTTGTAAAGTGCTTGGATTTTTCCACTTTACATGTAATTAGTTACTTAAGTGTGGTATTCTGACATTTTCTTTTTCTTATTAAAGTGTCTTTAGAATATTCTACATAATATTATTACATTTTAAGAACGAATTTAACTATTATACAAATTGCTGTCAACAGAGCTTGTGCCATGGTAGTTTTAAGGGTTCCTTGTCAGGACACCCTTATAGTTTCGTCATGTCTGTCTGTCCGTCTGTCCGTCCGAGGTTTTTTATTTGTTCGTTTCAGCCAAATGACGTCCACTGCTGGACAAAGTCTTCCCCAAGGATTTCCACGACGATCGGTCCTGCACTGCCCCAAGCACTTCCCGCGACCTTCACTAGATCGTCACTTTAATAATACACTTATAAATATATTTTAAAACGTCTAGAATTCAGGGTAGGTATATTGTTGGTATGAATATGATGAGAGGACATCACTTCGCGCATTGCCAAGGNTACATTTTCAAGAACTAATTTAACTATTATACAAATTGCTGTCAACAAAGCTTGTGCCATGGTAGTTTTAAGGGTTCCTTGTCAGGACACCCTTAAAGTTTCGTCATGTCTGTCTGTCTGTCTGTCCGTCTGTCCGTCCGAGGTTTTTTATTTGTTCGTTTCAGCCAAATGACGTCCACTGCTGGACAAAAGCCTCCCCCAAGGATTTCCACAACGATCGGTTCTGCGC